TYWTGKTGTATCACTCAAAATGGAGAAAAAAAATCCAGGAATAACTMACAATGGTGCTGCCCAGTTTAGCCAAGAGTCACAAGTTCAGACTATTTTCCCTTCAGTATTTCTAATCTGCTGCCAATTTTCAAACACTTCCCCTCTTGGCTCAGAAGTTGCCACGACCCCTTTCCCAACAGGGAACAATGTCATCACCCCTGCAACATCTCTGGGCTTTCCAAGCCCAAAAGGGAAGGAGAAAGTTTCTCCATGACTTGACCAAATTTCCCTACCTGGCACCTCAAAAAAATAGGAAGATAGGAAAAAAAAGGTCACCTTTTGAGCCTTTGCTAACCTGCAGGATCCAGGAGAGAACAGCTGGGCTTCAAGCTTCTTTCTACCATGGCTTGTCCACAAACCTGTACTGCTTCTACAGCTCGCACAGAGTGACCTGAGCTTCAACAGACCCTTTGGTGACTGAACTGAGCACAAAACTGCCTCCCTCATGAGAAACGAGGTTGGGACACATTGGCCACTGACAAGGAATAGGCTCATATGACTGCTCTGAGGTACATGCTTGACGGGCTCAGAGTTAACAGCGGAGAGACTACTTGTTTCAGGAGGCCTTTGCTCATCCCACACATTTGCCTCTCTCATTTGTGTGACTTCTGAGCTTTCCTAGTACTACAAGCTGGACCACATACATTTGTAAGATCTAGAACCCGGCCCAAGACACAATGTCCACTTTGACAATGCTAAAGGCTTTARAAAGCTTGCTTGAAGGAATGCATTGCAGGAACAAACTGCAGTTCTTAGTGCCACAATTTTCAAAGGGATTGAACGGATTAAGCAACCACCATTACCCACCTTTCAGTTAGGGCTGCATATTTAACTTCCCCAAAGGTGATGGCATTTTGTGCAGCCAGACACAAGACAGCCCTGACCAGACCTCAGCCAGCACGCAGTGGTGTCAGCAAGGCATTTGGTCACACCACATACCAGAGCTTTCTGTCACAGGCTCAACACCAAACTAATGAGGTCACACAGTTGCTGACAGGCTTACAGGATGGAGAAAGCTTACTCCAGTGTGCCAGAGAAACGATCTGATGAGCTCTACAAGACATGGGACATCTTTCTTTTCTTGTACTACCTGTCAGGACCCTGACACATGACTGTGATCCTAGGTGCTGTGGGATAACAAGTCTCACTTAAGAGATATCAATTATGGCCASTGCTGCTTTCCTAAGTACCCAAGGACACAAGGATCACTGCGATAGCTGCTTATCCAAATGCTTTAAAATTATGGACTTGCCAAAAGTGCTTTTGTTCCTGGTTTCCTCATCAAATAAAGTAAATACACAAGGCAAAGCAAGAATAAAGATAGCATCTGAAAATAATGTTCTGCTCCAGCTTTCYTCTAGGTGCTTTGTTATAAACGACACAGACAAACAATCGGAGCAGGAGCAGCTCTTATAGTTTGTTAGCAGCTCGAGATATGTCAGCTAAAAGGCTCCTCTTGGTCTGATACAAAACTTGTGTATCTACTGCCATCATTTATATGACAGTCTAATTAACTGAAAATCCCAATGAGATGCATGTGAAAATACTTTCAAGTGAAAAATACCTTCACAAGAGATACCACAATAAAAGTATGGTCTTATTGCTAGCATAACAGTGGGGATTACTCATACCTTCCCATTGTTGAGCTTGCCAAAGGAGACAATTGTGCAGACGTTCATTTGGAACGGGCGGCGYGCTTCGTTGCAGTTAAAGTCATCCTCGCCATCAGGGAGCTCTGCAGAACTTAGTTCTACAGGTGAACTTGTTCCATGCTTTTTGACAGGGTAATCAGTCTGCTCTAAAACTTGTTCTTTAACTGCTGCACGTTTTAAAGAAATCACCGCAGAAAAGTTATGGTGAGCAGCTGGAGAACTGCCCGGGTCCTCAGCACCCAGATTATTCACAGAAAGATCTTGAGAACATGACAGCTCCATGCCCAAGTCCTGTGCCTCTTGTAGAGTACTGCTTGTATCCTCAACCTCCAGTTCATCTGTAGACAAGTCTCCCAAATATAACTCAGTATTCCTAAGGTCCTGCATATCCAAGTCTGTCTTTGAAAGCTCTCGAGCCTCTGCTGGAGAGCAACCCGTGTCTTTGGTATCCTCTAGAGCACAATCCACATTCTCATTACCTACTTTAGTCAGCGTCATGCATGGAAATTGTGGCAGAGTCTCAGAGGGGTCTTGAGTAAAAGAGTCATCTGGGAGCTCTGGCAGGGGGGAGAYGGATGGTTCTGGCCCAAAGGGAGAAAGGGACATTTCATTAAAACTATCATTCTCACTGCCCAGGGCACAACAGCCAATTTCTTGTGATACCTGCAGGTTTTTGCAACGCTGCGCAGTTTCCTTTCCCATTGAACTCTCAGAGCTCTGATTATCCCAGATCCCTGAATCCGGAGACTGCAGAGATGCTCCTGTGCTGCAGAAAACCCTTGTGTTCTCATTCTCGATCACCAAGGCCTCTTTGTGGGAGGTGGCATCCTGCCTCCGGCTTTTGAAACTGGACTGAGGTCTTCTCTCGTCTGGTGAAAACGCCCTTGAAGAGCCTCGCAACTTCCTAGCTGCCTCAGCAACACTGTTAAAGAACCTCACAACGCCCCCAAAGTGAGTGGCTTTGGTGGCGCCGTTTGATTTTTTCCGCTGGCTAAGATTCCCCTCACATCTCGTATCAAAGTCCAAATAAGAAGCAGAATTATCAGTTATACTTTCTAAGTTCTGGAAATTGGTTTCAACCCTTTGATCTGGAGGCTTTGAATTATCTTTGCTAGTTAATGAAATTCCTTTCAGATAGCTCCAAACATCAGAGCTCTTCCCCCTCCTGCTCTCCTGTGGGAGCACGATACACCTCTTTTGATTGTCCCCTTCCGTAATTGCAGAACTCTTAAAGTTCTCCAGATTCAAAGACTCGCTCTTCCTAACTGGTATTTTATGGCAGTTACTGTCATTATCTTCACTCTGTAATCTGACACTAATATCCCTGAGCCATTTATTTTCATTGGCATCAATTTCAGGAATGCTGATATTCAGCTCTACATCTTCAAAAGAGGAATCCAAATCATCAATGTACCCTGCGTACGAGTGGCGGGAAGGCCTCTGATTGTCCCCCAGCTTCTTAATCCTGTAGACTGCTCTTTGGCCACTGCCATGATGGTCCTCCTCAGGGGCACAAGCAACCTGAACCTTGGAGGCTCTCAGCTCTACATTCTTAGACATGCTGGAGGTCCTTAGCTTTCTCAAGGACCTCACCCTGTCCATGAAGGTAGTTTTTTTTTCTTCTGGGGCCTCAGTGGTAACTCCAAGCAGGATCATGGACTGGGGTCTTTTGTTATTCATGGAGGGTCCTTTCCTCCGACTAACGAAATTCCAGATCCGGCTGCCCTTCGCCTTTTTCTTATACCTGGGCCCTTCTTCCTGTCCATTCTGGACTGTGCCACTGGATGTGTAGTGCTCATCATCGCAGATCTCCAGTGCATCCGTGCTGCCTTCCTCCATGTTTGCTTGGAAAACCTGGTTTGCATATCCATTTGGCACTATCTCTGGACCAGAGTGCTTGTAGCCCTCTCCAACTTCCATATCTCCGGCTGGTTAGCTAATATCAGGTGTCACAGCTCCATGGTCTTCAGCTTGTTTTCTCCATAAGACCTAAGGAGGGAAAAAAAAAAAAAAAAAAGCAGGCAATTAAAAGATTTTTTTTTTCCCCCCCATAAGAAACACTTTTTTAAATCAAAGGTCAAATCTCATCCTAAGGACAGCTGTGGTGGCTTTGCTACCGATTTCAACAAGGCTGAGATTTTGCTCCCAGACTGTATAAAGTTCAAAGCCACTCAAATCTGATTTAAATGACTGAAGCTTGAGTAACCGCAAATAAACTTCCTGCATTAATGAAGTTACCACAAAGTATACACCGATTACTATAAATCACATCTTGGTCTTACACATCACTAGGACTCCGAATACATCAGAGTGCATGACAGGGAGGGAAAGAGGAAATTACAGTCAAATGTCCCCGTGCACGTAACTGTCATCTTCGCTAACCCCATCTGCCAGAACTAACAATGCTCTCCTGCTGAGCTCAGTCTCCTTGGGCAGGCATTCAAAGGAAAGCCAGGATGAGCCTTTTCCTGGAACCGAGGCARTTTCAGAATATTTCAATACCTGAAAATCTATGGTATCCATGCCAGGTTTTTCCACTCTATATGTGACAGCAGCACGGGAATCCCTCGCTGGGAAAGGGCTGCTGACCAAAGGCTGCAGGGCAATCACTCAGCCCTAGGCAAAATACATATATCCCCCTCAAGCAAGTTCCAGCCTAGGGAACAACAGTAAAACCATCGGTACATCACACACCAGCAATGGAACCCCCYCATGCCCCTTCTGGGAATACATTTGAATTCCTGTTCATACTGATCCTAAACTTTCCTTCCCAGCATTATGCATCTCAGGGTGGCCCTGGGTTCACTGTCTCCCCAAGCAGCATGCACAACATGCACCGAAAAGGGTTAAATCACCTGAATTCCCTATCCCACCCAGAAGAGGAACATGAGAGTAAGACTAGGGACAAGAAAGGGTTTTCACATTTCTGTCACACCTTCACACCTATTTTCAGTGACTGAAGCTCACCAAGACCTCTGCACATGGCAGAAGCACTGAAGACTCAGAGTACATCCAAGTGAGGTTGAAACCCTTCGCAGAAACATCCTACCACCCTGCTTCTATCCAAACTGCATCCATCTGGCTTTCACTGCAGCTATGACACACAGACCACCCCTTTTTTGTTGTTTGTTTTGGGTTTTTGTTTGTTTGTTTTGGCAACAGTAACAAAAAACAGGCCCTGCTGACAAGCAGGGACCCGGCCACAGCCCTTTCGAAGAGGAAACAGCCAGTAGTGCCCATTCCTTGTTCAGGTCTGCAAGGYTGGTTGAGGTGCATCAATTTGCCCCAAAATATCAGTGTGCATTTGCTGCTATGAAACACCTAACGCCTCTTCTGGTTAGGAAACCAGTATCCCATACCACTGGGAGAGCTGCCACAGTACAGCCCTTCCACATTACAGAAACTACTCTGGCCTCTACCTGCTCTCTGCACCTTGACCTGAGACCTTGTTTTTCTTGCAGCAGAAAGAGTACCCCTTAATTCTCAAAATTCCCCTTTTCCGAGTAACTGAGGTAGACAGGTAGGTTGGGACTGCACAAAATCCAACTAACTGGCACCAGTCATGTTACACAAACCCGTGCGTCTATGGCCACAATCCTCCTCCAAATTCCTCACATTTTTTTCAGAGTATCCAAATCTTCAAGAAAGCAGTGGGCACTTTGTAGCTCATTCACGATTGCCTAACATTTCCTTGGCAACAAGGCATTTTTGACACAAGACAGGCGGAGGTGATATCAATCTGGCTACTCTTAAACGCACTTTAGCAGATGGAAACAACAGCAGAAATAACCCTGCAGGGCAAGGTAATGTCCACTTCAGTTAACAGTTTCTCTGGACTTAGAGAATGCTGGATCAGGCCCAAGCATCCAGGCCTGTTTGTTCCAAATGACCCTGCAGGAACCCTTGCTTTACTTGGGCAACATGGTTCTCCTTGAGGCAGCCTGCAGATTCCCATAGCCATTTTCCAGGTGTTATCCACATCTTCTATTATTCTGTAGCAGAATAAGGGTATCCTAAAGAAATATCCAAAGAAAGCAGGACAGTGAGGTTGGCTAGCAAAGATGCACAAATCATAAAAGGTCTCCTGACYCAGGTAGAGCTTAGCTGGGTCAACAGATCCCAAACATTGTATTATAATAATAATAATTTAAAACTAGGCAATTCCAGCCATTTTCAAGGCTGGTAGGAAACAACTGCAGAGCAATATTTTGTGTTATAACAGCTCCTGGGCAAAGAGTGGAGATGTTTGCTGCTATAAAGTCAAAAAATGACATGTTATAACACTTAGCTGTCAGAATCTCCTTCTGGAGAGTGGACACACAGAAGAGTTTCCAGGTTAAATATTTGGAGGGACTCTCACAATCCCATCAGCTTTAAAAATTCAACTGAACCATGACTTCCTATAGGARATTATAAGGAAACATGGAGCACAGATGACCAAACCCAAGATCTGCTGGAGCTGTGTTCATGAGGAATACATGACAAAAAGAGAGGGTTGGGGGCTAACTTCTTTATTAGACTGAAGCTTTATTTTTAATTGCAATAGATAATAAGCATTCCTACTTAGATGTTACAATAGGAGCTTTCTAGAGTCACTTCTCTGAAGACCAACCACACGTAAATATCCTGAGCAAACCAATTTCTGCCCTTCACTAATAACCTGACCTCAGCAACACTGTCAGAGGCAGGGTCTGATCAGCACCACTGACACAACCATCTTTTTCTTCTTTACCTGCCAACCTGTCACACCAAGGCACTCACCAAGAGCAGCCTCCTCTCCATGTCCCCGTGATCAACTCCCAAAAGTCTCTGCCCCTGTGCACTGGCCAGGTCCCGARTTTGCATTGCTTGAGTGCACCGAGACCATTGCCTGCTAAAGCCACCAGGAAGCTGGCCCTCACTTTCTCCACCACCTGCTCCAGACATGTTGAGGATCATATGTTGTTCCAGAAGGCCTAAAGGACCAGCACCAAAACAAGAACAGCAGGAACTCACCCGGGATGGAAGCTAGGTGCCTTTATCTACCAGGTACAGGGGGGCACAGCGATTGCATCCCTTGTCCAGACACACATCCCCAAGCAACTTGCACAAGCAACATCCAAGCCAATTCCCTGCCTCTGCTCAGGCTTGGGGCAGCTCTCAGAGGCCCTTAGGACACCTCTAACCTCTGGCCAGCAATAAACTCACTCAGCCTTCGAGGATGGAGCGCRCCGAGGCGCTGCCGACGCGCGCGCGCCGATTTGGGATGCGGCGCCCGGCGAGGCAGCACCGGGAGCTGCAGCGGGCCAGGGCCCCCAGGGACACGCGCTTCCAGGCGGCTCTTCCTCCGCAGAGCATGAAATAACAAACAACCYGGAGCCTTTGGCCATTGTTTGCCCGGGAAAGGGGGGCGGCGGGGCCGGGGCACRCGGCGGAGTCGGCTCTAGGCACGGCCGAGCTACGGAAGTCCTGCCCGAGCTTCAGTGTATCCGCTCCACTGCGGGGGGAGGCAGGAAGGGGAGAAAATAGCAAACAAATGAGCMTGTAGCCCTTGAGGGAAACCTGTCTGCTCCAGGAGAGCGCACTCGGCCCCGGAGCACAGCGCCTCTCGCCATACAAAAGAAAAAGAGGAAAGAAAACCCCGCCAGTCCTTCCGTTGCCATGTTCTACTGGGGAAAAATGGGAGGAAACAGATGTCAGGCTCCACAGCGTCAGGAAATTCTCTCTCTCAAGCGGGTATGGCTACCTCTGTGTATTTAGGTCAAGCAAGCGGCTGGAGAAGCGTGACTTCTCCTTGGTGCTTAGGGCTCAGCAGACACTGCTTCGGTCTTGCTGGGACCACGCTGAGGGAATAGCCATGAGCTGCAGCCTGGCACTCCCGGAGGTCCCCGTGACAGAGTCACCAGGCCAGGAAGCACTGCGGTGCTCCGGTCCCTCCGGACACACGGCATCGCATCCACAGGACGAGGTGGACTCCTTGTTTCTCTGCTTCAGCCCATRCATATAGTTAATTTTTAGATGAAGGTGGAAGGAACAAGGACAAGAGATGTAGGTGAAACATCTGCTAAAAGGATCTGCAGGCCTCCGAGCAAGCGCTGTTCCGACTTTCCGGTGCTGGCTCCCCAAGGAGGGCTGAGCAAGTGCCCATAGGAAGTGACCACAGAATTTAACCATGATTTCACATGCTCTGCAAAACACGATACACGGGAAGTGAAAAAATCTCTCCTTAGGAGCAGGAGATGGCCAGACGGACAGGAGATCAGCTTGAATCTCATTGCAATCAGCAGGGGCCAGGAATTACTCAAGCATCAAGCAACAACTCGGCAGCACAAGTCAACCTGAGGCAATGGTTTATCACTGATGACCRCTACCAGAAGACTTGACTCCTCTCACACGTCCACCACTATGGCAATGCCACCGTTGATCATGGCAACAGACTGTCAGAAAAACGACTGCAGAGCAAACGGTGTCCTGACACAACCCAGTTCACTCACCAGCACCACTCACGTTCAATACCCTTCCCATTAGGAGGATTCACTCCAGAAGGGCAAAAAGAGCTCCTGTACTGACTGAAAGCAATTCCAGCCGCACAAATAGCATGCGTTTCCCACCACCTACATGGCACACTACATTCCCAAGCATTTGTTACAACAGAATTTTCAGTGTTTTGCCCATAAAATATGGCACAGGTGTTCCAAAGCTGTATGCATAGCCAACTGCACTCCGCAGAGCTGGAGCTACAGCGGCACATATCTGCCCGACATGGTTTTCATTAGTTTAAGCCAAAGCTTTTACAGCACTAAGACTGAATTTGTGTTTCTGTTAATTCAATATTCCCTGGGCGGATGGATGGATGGATGCACAGACAGATCGTGCCGCCAGCGTATTCATAAAGACGGAACTTCAAACTTCAGTTTGAGTAGATCAGCTCACTCATGTATAATTTAAACATTACTTCCTTCCCATTTCAGGGAGCTTTAAAGTCTGTGCAATGGTTAAACACAATGAAA